CCCCCCAAACTACCCAGAGGAAAAAGTACCAGTTGCCCTCAACCAAATGTATCAGTTGCCCTCACATGTTAATATATACACAAATACAATATATATAGCTCGTAAAATAAGGGAGGTAAATATACAAATCATAAATAAAATATAAAATTCAAAATTATTATGTTTTGTTATAATAATTACTAACCGATTTTACAAAATCTAATCTGCTAATATTTTTGTTTTTATATTTATTTTATCGGATACAATAATTGACGGATTGAATTTAAGTTCAAAGCCAGAGCATTTTTATTTTAACATAATAAATAACAATTCATACGTTTTCGATGATTATATCCACTCAGACGCATCTAAAATTACATGTTATGTTAACAAATTATTATAATTTTGAATTTTATATTTTATTTATGATTTGTATATTTACCTCCCCTATTTTACGAGCTATATATTGTATTTTGTATATATTAACATGTGAGGGTAACTGGTACATTTGATTGGGGGCAACTGGTATATTTTTAAAATCGCGATAATAGCCTTGGGGGGCAACTGGTAAACACCCATTTGAAGTTGGTGGGTGAATAAACGTTACGTAACCGGGCGGCAGTATTGTAATAAACAATTACTAATTATATTTCGAACGAAGAAAAAAAAAGGTGTATAGTACATTTTGTCAAAGTTGATCACTGTTATCATAATATATTTATTATTGTGTTCGATTTGAATTCAATGATGAGATGTCATCTTGTATGATTGAAAATGATTGTGAGCGGCAATGATGTTCTGTCAATCTATATTTCTTGACTTTCTAATGGTATTATTATTTTGTTATTATTCTAATTTATTTGTCTATATTAGCATTGCAGTAGTCAATATACTGAAGCTGTTTTACGAGGAGGAGATTGTATTGTATTATTTTAAGTACGGATTTTGGTAAGGATGGACCTAAAAATAATAAAAATACTTTACGGTACCGTTAAAATTTGGCCAAAATTCCATATTTGTTACTCTAGAGTCTAGACAGTTGTGTAATCAAGAGAGATCAGAGCCTAAAGGGTGCGGTAGCACCCGGGCCTGGACGCTATGGGTCCCAAATACGTTTTTCTTAATATACTGTAATGCAATTTTTTATACATTTATTTTAATGGTTCGAAACACAATTGAATTTGATTTGAATTTTATGAACCTGTACCAATAATGAGCGTGAATACTTTATTTTTCACCAATGAGCATATACGGATACGGCAGATTATAATCGCATGAAAAACTTAGGAAATGAGCTGAAATTAAAACTACTTAGTCAAAATCGAAGATGGTAATAATTCGGATAGTCCGGACTCTTTTGTGCGTCTGTGTCTGTGTGTTATTACTACCCCTTTTTTCGGCTGCTCGGCTTAAACACCACATATGTTTATAATAGTAACACGCGATGAATAACGATGATGACTAGCTGTAGTGTGTTGTATATTGCCGCCACTGTACCACATTTGGTTCATTTTTTTCCTCGCCCGACGTTTTAGCTTTTCGCTTTCTATCTTGACTCTGCTATACTGTAAAGTGTAAAGCTACTTGCTGCAAACACGATTATAAATTCCAATAAGTGTTTACACAATTTATCGCTTTTTCGTTTACATTAGACAATCCTGCTTTTTCTTTTCATCTCACTCACCGGTGCCTATACTGTTCCTTCTCTCTATTTTTCTCTCTCCCTCGCACACTCTTTCTTTCTTTCACCCTTTCTGTATGTTATATAGGAATACTCACGGTTACACTATTTTAGGAAAAACTATAGCACAGAGATAAACACTTATGGTTTTCCATTGGCTGTTATAAATTTGTCAAGTCCATAACTTCTAGGATGATTCTTATTTTTATGACGAATTTATTTACATTTATATTTATTTATGTATTTAAATTATTAGTGGTAGTAGTTGTACCTTCAACGTGAGATGAATCAGGAAAATACAAAATATACATCATGAGATACAATATTTAAAATATAAGATGTGATAACATAGTTGTATGCTTACAGTAAATTGTGTGTCAATGTTGTAATATTATTGTATCGACCAGTAGCTCATACTATACTAGGTAAATTAATATAGGAATAGATATCCGCAGGCATATACTATATATATACATGCATCAATTACATAATATAAATATATTTATAATTCATATACATTAAGTACATATGTTTCATGTAAATAACACAGGTAATTCCTATTTCCTACAATATAATATAAAATTATATACTATAACAAGCTCTAGCAAATTATAAATAGTTGTAGAAAATGTAGAATACTATATTATTATTATGTGATTGCAGTCTTCCAAATGTTGTGGGACAAAAATGATGGGTACTTATGTGGTCTCCGACATTTTAGAGTCAAAAAAATCAGATACATAATATAATATAATAATTGCAACGTGATATTCGGCGATGTGACGAAGGGTATTTTTTTTATGTAAAAAATAGCTAAGACTTTGGCACATATATCGAACACCAAAAATCATTACCTAAATTATAGATATTCACTCATCCTATATATAAGCAAATCATACTAAAATTACTTTTATATGCAGTACCTGTGTCTGAAACACACTAACACAAAGTACAAGAGTTCTAATTCAAAGTTCTGAAGACAATATCTAATATGTCCGTGGTTTTTTCGTAATGTTACACTTCAAATACTTCATGCTATAATATCCGCCATAACTGGGTATGTAAAAAAATGAGCAATCAACTTCTTCAAATCCATCAATTCTACTACCACTGTGGAGTGACCCACCTTCTGTACTCCAACTCAAGCGTGAATGTACACACAAACTTTTATTATAATTGTATTATCTTTTTAATTATAAATAAATTAAAACTTAAAAGTATCATTGCATTACTAATGTTATGGTTAAAATAATAATACAGTACATTGATAAAGTTTGTAATATTATCATCATTACCGACTTATGGTTTTATAGTTGCTATCAATTTTCCAAATGTTAAAAATATGAGTTTCTGTTAAAAATAACTTAAGATGACAATGTCAGGGAAAAATTAATTAATAAAAAAACATTATCCTTTATTAATGGACAAATTAATACGAACCTATAAGTATAAAATATTTGTATTTATTATAATATAGGTTTCGTGTAAATAACATATAATTTCTATATTGCCTACAATATTTATTTAATTTAATATTGAATTCCTAAGATAAAATATTTAAAATTCCAACTTTAAATTCAGGAAATGATCATCACCCTTTTTTGTACCTTAATACTCAACAAATATAATTAAACGCCTCTTAGATGCTTGTGAATATGTACCTAACTTCGATATTCCTTTTGATTTACCACTCAAACTAAAAAAAATTGATGATAAACAATTAACATGTATATTAGTTAAATTTAAACCTACATGTTTTTATTGTATATTATATATTTGTATCAGTACTCTTTAGTCTTTACCCCTTTGGGGTGTTATAACATTAAATAAATAAATAAATAATAGTACAGCAATAGGTGAAATGACTACAGAATATTTGTAGAAAATATAGAATATTAAGTTAATGATTCTACATATGGTATAGGATCTTTCAAATTTTGTGTCACATAAATGGTTCAGTCGTGCAGATTTTGTGTGGATTCTCACGCAATCCCCACCGTTTAAGAGTCAAAAAAATCGGATTCGTGTATAGTATATGGGTTATAGGTACCTATATAATAAAGTGACGAGGGGTATTTTTTTAACAAAAAAATCGCAACGGATTTGGCACATACACTGCCGTAGGTATAATATATAATATAATAACGGCGAAAAACAGACGATGCAGTGCGCGCGTCTTCCAAGAGGGATGAGAATAGTCGTCTGCAGTGTATAATACACACACACACACACACACACTCGCATATAATAAGAAGGGATTCGTCTGGTAATACAACGATAACAATAATAATAATAACAATAACAATATAATAATATTATACTACATTACACGGGTGTTTTCGCTCGCGCGTCGGTTTACCGCGGCAGCGGAGGTAGGTGGTGTCAACCGTCGCGAGCGCTAGCGAAAAAAATACGGGAAAAAAACGGGCGTACGTCGCGCACCCCGCGCACACACACTCTCCATTGGGGGGGTGGTCACGGTCGCGAAACGCGTAAGAGGAGCGTGGTGGCGGTGGTGGCGGAGGGCGAGAGGTTGCGCGCGCGCCGCGAGACCAATAGCGCTGCGGGGGCGAGGGTGTCGGCCGGGCACGCTCCGCCCAACCCGGGGGCCGCAAAGCCGCCGCCACCGTATGCGCCCCTCCCGCGGCGGTGGCGGTGGTGGCGGCGGTGACCGGCACGCCGCGCGCCGCCGCCCGAATAAAGGGGGTGGGTTATTCGCACTTTTCTACGCGGTGGCCAGTTATTGAATTACGCAGGGCCATCATTTGATTTGGAACCGACGACACCGTCGTATGTAACCGCCGCGCGCGCGCCACCGTAATCATCGCCGTCGTCGTCGTCGTCGTCGTCTTCGTCCTCTTCTACTGTCCGCCACCGTGTCCTCCGCCGCCGCCGTCCTCTTCTCACCCGTTACAATACGACGTGTATGAAACTATATTGCCGAACATATTATTATTATTATTATTATTATTATATTATCATCATCATCACTGCAGCGCATCAGTATTATACCTAATTATTATTTATATTATATAAACTTACGTACAGGCCAGTTTTTGCTTTTGGCCGTCCACTTCCTTCGTTTTCACTTATTTGGGCCACACGTATTCCACCTGCAGCAAAATACTATACCAAATAATAACTACATTATTACATACCTAACTGGTATACCTACTTTTTACGCACACATCGGGTGATTGCAGTTGCCTCGTCTGCAGTATCGTAGATAAATAGGTACTTTTATAAATAAATAGTACCTACGTCGTTGTATCGTAGTCGTCGGTACGCACGTGCGCGCCGCCCGATGAGATAACGGCACGTGATAACGCACAGCATCGTCATGGACTACTCGTACCTGAACCAAGCCAACTTCGACGGTTTGACCGGCACCACCACGGCCGCGTCCAACATGGACCACGCGGCCATGGGATACGGCGACCTAACCGCGTGCGGCCAAATGACGCACGCCGCGTACAGGTTCGGTCCCACTGCGTCCATGGCCGCCAGGTCGTACAACACGGCCATGGGCCATCACCTGTCGGCCGCCGCGGCCGCAGCGGCCGTCGCGTCCGGAAACGGCCACAACGGCACCGGCGTCACTTCTGCCGCTGCCGCCGCAGCCGCAGCCGCCGCGCGTGGACACCACCACGGACACCACCAAGACCATCACCCGGGGCGGCCGACCATGTTCTCGACCGCAATGAACTTGCCAGGTAAGCCAGTCAAGTCTATAATGCTACGTAGGTAGTCTGTGACAAGCCATCGCTGCGACCGCAAAAGTCCACTTTTTTCTAATTCATCCACGGGATGGTCGAAAAACTGCACTTTAATGGTTTTAAAAAAAACTATAAGTTTATATTAATAAACTTAAAATCTGTTTTTCCTACAAGATTTTCATTATTAATTCAATAGAAACTATCTATAGTATTAGATGTTGTTAGGTATAGATTCTATACCTATTCGAAAAAGGTAGAATTATTATTGTTTATTATGCGTACACTGCGCTATGTAACTATTGGTACTTTAATTATTTATTTTGTTAAAATGGAGCAATTATTCGCAGAAAAATCAGATAATAGATTCTTGCACCGAATAATGAAAATCAAGATTAGTCTATTACTATATAAAATATACTTTTATATTATTTATACTTACCTGGTTGTCACACCAACTACACTTGTAGTCCACTTTTTTCTTGATTTTATTCCATAAAAAAGTGAATTAATTTTTTTTTTAATTCGTCACGTCTGGTCGCTACAGTTAACCCTTCAGTTAGGATCGATCAAACGTGATCGCACCGAAGTAAAAATAATAAATTCATCTAAATCTAAAAATATACAATATCAATATAATATAACCGAGTTAAATTCGTATAGTTGTCATAATAAAAACTATAATTAAATGAATATGCTTACATCCAAGATCGTTTGTAAATCGAATTATCACAGAATACACATTATAGATCATATACTCATAAGATCCTTAAGTATCTATAATTGTGGAAAAACGACCGAATCGCTTAAGCGTGAATTTCAATAATTTCGAACAACTAAAAATATGCATATGTCTTATAAGTTAACGAAAATTACGAATATTAGATATGTGTGCAAACGATAAATACCTGTTATTATTTAACTGTTCGTATCCCCCCTCTCAACAAACGATTACCTTCAAATATACATAACATTATCATTTATCAACACTGGGAATCAACTCGGTAGATAATGAGTTAAAGCAAGTTCATTTTTTTTCTTAACTTTTCAATTCAACAATCTATATAGTCTATTAATTTTCTTATTAACTGAATGACTGGATATAAGACAACGCAGCCCCCACTTGCTATTTAAGTGGTTTATATAGGCAACTTTAATGCAATTTTGAGATGAGGAGATTAGTACTTATACAGTAGAAGGAATAGTAGGTACCCTCTATTTATAATATGCACATTTTGTCATTATTTAAAAATTTGAAAGTAGAAAAATCTTAGTACCTATATAATAATCATATGTGTGGGACCTGGTGCGGCTCGGTGGTTGGCCTCAATCACTGACGTGTTCTGAGGTGAAGCTTCGGGCAGCGTCGCTAGTTCCCGGACGGGTGACCACCCGGATCTTTAGTGACGAATCCTCATCCCACAAACACGTGTACCTCAAGCAACCATAAACCCGCTAAAAAATGATAATGGTCATAGTTGCCGATACTTAAGATCAATAAAAAAATAATAATAAATAACATGTGTGATCCAGGTGGCAATTAAAAAATTAGTATCTGAGTTGAGTTAATATTTTTCTCTGCATTAACTTTAAAATTTTAAAATAAAATATATTGTTTGTTAAATGTTAACTTATAGCTTAACATTGATTAAAATTAACTAACACAACTACACAAGCTTATAAAATATATACCTATACAAAATTAGAAAAACTGTTGAGATTTTAATAACGAAGTGAGTATACATAAAAAAAATATTGATCAAATTTATTTTGAATTATTATAATATTTAAATAATAAAAATATATTCTAGAAAAATATAGTAAGTGCGTTGAAAAGTGGGTTTGGGATTATCTTAATTGATATATAAACTCGGCCCTGGTAAATTTTTCAGATAAAATTACTCATAGCTAGTAAATACGACACAATAATTATTACAGGCAATAATAAAATATCCGTAAATACCTTTCTTATCGTGTCAAAAACTGGAAGGTATTGGAATAAAATACAAAACCATTATTATTCCATTTGTATTTATGTTTGTATTATTCCACAATTAATATTTTAAAATAAAATAAAATTATATAATATAGTATGTTAAAAACCATATTCAATGATTGATAACTGATAAGTAATAAACTAATGGCTGTTAAGTGATGACCAGTCGATTCATAAAGAATTCGTTACGTTTGAAAATATTAACTTACACTACTTATACTTACGATTTTCAAACAATAAATATAGTGTTAAACTAGCTGGGTGCCTGGTTCGACGCCTTATTTATAGATTATACGTACAATAATTGGTATATTATATTATTTTTGTTGTCGTTTCCGAGTTACCTACTATATTATCTTGAACATTAATTTTATATTTTAATTTACTTTTTTAAATTTCACAAAGTTACTTTGAAATGTATTTCAATTTAAATTATAAATCTTAAACAATGCACAAAATTGGGTTAATAATAATTAATAAATCTAATAGTATTTATAAATTACATATTTTCCTGAAAATATTCTTAATTAAAATTTAATTTTCAGTGTACCTATATAAATGTTATTTGTTAAATTATTTGTAACTAAGATGCCATTAGTTAAACTAATTATATCCCTAGGTATTAAATTAACATCTAGTTTATACTAAAAAATATGTATAAATAAAAATTATCATTTGTCTTTAGAATTGCGAATCATGAATTGCATGTACGAATAAATTTTCATTGTTTTAGGAGTTAAAAATATAATATAATATACCCAGCCATAGTACCGGCACTATTAATTAATTATTCATATTTTTGAATATGTAGGTTAAACTATCTAGGTATCCGGATAATAAACTAGTTAAATCAAATATTCGCCTACTAAAATTTTACCGAATAATGCTACTGATTTTTAACTTAATAAACGATTATAACAAACTATTAATGATTATTACCAATAAATATAATGATATCTGATAAAGCATACATAATTGAGTCTTGCAAGAGTAGATTAATACCTTAATCCCCAACTCATATGATAGGTTTATTTATATACTCAATATACGGACCCTAGTCTTAAATCATAATTATTGTAAACACTGTGGAACAGAATACAAACACTGCACAATAGTTAATAACAGCTAATATCACTTACAATATTAAATTGAATGTGGGTAATGAGAAAAATTAAAAAGAAAATGTTTCATCAAAATTAAAGTCAATAGAAAACTATTAATCAAAAATATGTGTATTACTGGCAATTATTTTATTATGAAGATGTTAGCGGGTTATAGCTTAAAATATAAATTTTATTAAAAAATATTAGAATACTTCTAAATGTCTAGTATTAAGTAAAAAAAACATTTTAGGACGATTAATGTAGCCTAATAGTTTTACTGGAAAAGCATACAACACTCAAGTAGTGAAATAATGCATAGTGTATACACTATATAGTTCACTCTCAGATATTTGTTAACCTTTGTAATATATTTACATGTTTTTAAGCTTTCAAAAATATTTTTTACTGTGGATCTGGAAAACACACAATCGTATTTATTTATCAGAACGAATTCAGGCGGAAATATTTTTTTACGTTGTCGTACGATATTTTGGTTAAAATTTAATATTTAAATGTCTTTTAAATTTCATGTGTGGGTTTTTTATTTAATGTTTTCTAGAATTGCTACATAATATTTCATATCGCTTTATTCGCTCGACTTCTTTTAAATAATATTATACCTATAAACTACTACATGTGGTTTGTACTTTGTATATATTATTTCAATGCACATGGATATATATTTTGTTAACTCAGATTTATATTATAACAAACAAATGTATATATAAAAAAAATGTTTTAAATATAAACTTAATATTATTTGTTTAAATGTATAATATTGAATTAAACATGATAATGTCTTGAAAAAAATATTATACCATGTTATATATAATATAGACATAATATTTCGTAGACATAATATTACAATTATAATATAACTTATAAAATTATAAAAATAAAATTACTCAATTTAACGTAATCAGTTTTATCACTTATCACCGAGTAACATAGGTATTGGTGTGGTAATATTGTAGTAAAAACGCAAGACTATTTGTAAATGTATCTTCTTGTCGTATAGAGTGTTCCGAGTTTATAATTTTTTGACCGAAAAAAGTTAATAGTTATTTTATTTATTTCGTGTATGGGTAAGGTTTCTCTAGGGAAATAGTTCTGACAGAATACATAAGTTGTGATGCATTTCAGTTGAGGGAAGTTTTGACAAGGGGTCGGACATCGTGATAGACAAGTGTGAAGACAAACGACCGGCCCGAAAAGGGGGAAACTATGAGAAATTGGCTGGTTAAGTACGTATGACAGCCTATACAAATAGATTTTTTTTCGTACTGAAAAAATATATACTTTCTTGCTTGTTTTTATAACCACGGTAATATTAGTGTATGAAACAAAAAATATAAATACAATTTTTACATTTTTAATATAACATTTTCTAAGATTTGTATATATAAGCATATTATAATATTATACAATTATATTAGTACTATATTATTAATTTGCTCACATTATGTTACCAGAAAATCGTCTGTCTATATTATGCTAATTGCATATTATTTACTACTATAAATGAGTATAGTAGATACGCAACAAATTCAGCTCGTACAATATTTATGCTAAAATAAATCAAAAAAATAATTATCTCACTTGTTTTTGTAAATCCTATTATATAATATAACGCATTAGATTCGAGCACATCTTAAAATAACAATAAGCGGTTCGGTCAATGTAAATACATCGAATATTAACCAAACCTAACCGCATCAAAATCGTATTGTGGTTCATATTATATTCATTAGAGTTCATATAAAATTCAACATAATATAATATTAAATATTGGTCTTATCTGTATAATTTTTCAGGCATTTAAATTATACGTTTTAGAGCTTATAGCCGCTATAAATGATGGTAATATAATACTAAGAAGTACGACGATAGCCTTGTAAACA